AAAGTATGTTAGCCAAATCCAATTTTTGAAAAGATGATGAATGAAAATGATTGGTAACGAAAATGTTACCTTCATGATTATAGGATCCAACATTTTTTCAGTTCCACCATAACTTCCTCAAAAGCTTATATTGTTTTGATTCTCCTACTTGAATCTAAAGAACAACCCAATGGAGGATAAAAAGAAGTATATATCGTTGTATTTATAGGATGAAATAGCCTTTAGAAAACCACAAAATGTTAATTAGCCTCATTAAGGCATTCCATCAAACATGTGAAGTGCAACTGAGTTTTAACCTAAAATCACAAATATAAATGGAAGCATGCCATATGTTTACTAGATTGATCACATACAGAATTTTTCCCATCAAAATCATAAATAAAATCCAATATTTAATCCATTCAATTCACAATCATCATAAAACATAAATAGTAAAATTGAATTCATAGCTTACTTTAAGAAATGATCTCACTCTACATCGACACCACTTGGAATATGATTGTGGCTCAATCTATGTACTGTATTTGATCACATGTAGAAAATTTCTAATCAAAATCATCAACACAACTTCAGCAAGAAAAGATGGTATCTTTCTTTTCAAAAAAGCCAAATCTAAGGAGAAACATTTTGCTATTTCTGAGAACCAGATAAAGTTTTGATCCAAGTAGTAATATATATATATATATATATATATATATATATATATATATATATATATATATATATATATATATATATAGAGAGAGAGAGAGAGAGAGAGAGAAAGAGAGAGAGAGAGAGAGAGAGAGGTGGGTTCAATTGAGAAAATAAAAAAGGTTGAGAATGGGGGAATCATTCTCAGCCACTCATTTAATCTAAGCATAAAAGACACGGTGACAAACTTGTAAATATCGTAATAACCTTCAATCTCAAATACGTAACTATAGAGAATTCGATAACTGTTCGTTCATCATCAAAATTTTTCCTCCAACCTTCAATAATGATCTAGATTTCTTCAACTAAACCGGAATTTCTTCGCTGTTCATGAAATTGGAATCGGAGTTCTGGACTCGCAATCATAGTCGACATTGATGGACTTAGAATCGGTACTCACAGGTTCCCAATCGGATTTTTGGAAATCAAAATCAAATTGAGAAATCGATCAGAGATAGGATGTCGGATCTGAAGTCGAAATCGGAAGTATATGATGATTTGGAATTGATAACTTGATGTTTTTAACATTTTTAAAATAGTTAACTTGTTTGCACTCCAACTGTTTGATGAAATGCATAAACTAAATTACCACGTTATATTCACATATGAATATGTTTTCTCACCTGAATCAATATATGATTATTAAAAACACAAAACAAATATGCAAGTATGTATGTTATTCATATGTGAATAACATATAAAAATTACATATATTTGTCAAAATACCTTCAATATTCATAAGTGAATATACCTTGTAATATTTATATGTGAATATATTGTGTAACATTCATAAGTGAATGCATCATCTAATATATTCACAAATGAATATACTCTGTAATATTCACTTGTGATATACCATGTAATATTATGTAATATTCACATATGAAATATCATTTAATACTCATAAATGAATATACCATCTAATATTCATAAGTGAATATACTATGTTAATATTCACAAGTGAATTCATCGTCCAATATTAAAATATGAATATACTATGTTTATTATATGCTATATTCATATATGAATGATACTTAAATTGTAAAAAAAAAAAATCATACTTTTATTCATAAGTGAATAACGAATGTACTGTAATATAATCTGATGCATTGTTATTCATTTATGAATAACGATAGCTGAAAATATAAAATTTTTTTTATTTTATCTTAAAATTATATCAATATGGATGTCTATTTGTAGAGAATAAAAAATCATGAATTTTGGTATATTTAAAATCATTTTTTGATAAAAATAGCTTATAAAAGTAAAAAAAAATAAACGAAAAAAACTGTTTTTGTATGTATTAAGGTAATGATTAGCATAGTTTAAGAAAATATGTTATGTTGGAAAACTTATGTGCATTCGTTTCCCATTTCCACCGGTACGTTGGAACCTTTTGCGGTAAAAATAAATGATTGGTTAAGAATGATTCCACCATTCTCAACTTTTTTTTTTTTTTCAATTGAACCCTCCCCTATATATATATATATATATATATATATATATATATATATATATATATATATATATATATATATATATATATATATATATATATATAGAGAGAGAGAGAGAGAGAGAGAGAGAGAGAGAGAGAGAGAGAGAGAGAGATAACAATTAAGAAATAAACCTTACCGAACAAAAGTTGTTGGCTGTCTGTTTATTACCAATGCTTTGGACAACAATAAGTTGTTTATCTTAATTAGAATTATGAGTTTCGGTGTCTTTGGCCTTACGTCTTCCTCTTTGAATGGCTTGAAAAACACATATTATCAAAGAAATTAACAGAAATGAATTTCACTCTATGTTAATTATAAATTAAAAAGACAGAAAAAGATGCTTGAAACAAACCCACAACTGAGGATATCTCTAGCAGAAGTAGAAACCATTTCACGTTTTTTTGGAACCATCATATAAAAACAAAAACGAAAGGCAGTATGTTATAAACAGAATATGGAAAACAAAATTACACTATCAGAAAAATACAAACCACAAACAATACATCTTAATCTTGAGTGGATGAATATTGCAACATTGACTGCAGAAAAATTATAAAGGTGAAGAAAGCGGTGGACAAACGACCGATGACCGAAAACATTGGACTTTTTTTTTGCACAACTTGATATGATAATTGAAGGCGGTTCGGGTTACATCTTCCAGCCCAAGCATATCATCATCAATAAGCACCATCTAAAGTTCCATAGTTTTTAAAAAGAGCGATGCTCGCATGAAATCAGATATAATATCACATCTAGGTTCGAGGATGGTATTTGACAGTGATAGAGATGATAAATGGTTTTTGACATGGGTGTTGTATGCTGGAGAAGAGGTTCTAGTGTAAGAGATGAAGAAGGTAAATAGGTATGAATCCTTGAGTCGGTGTTGATGACCAATTGGAAGCAATTGATGTGTAGACTGTAGACAAAAAGAGCGTTCGTGTAAGACCGGAGGGTGTGAGTGAAAAACTCTCCTCACTTTTTGTGGGCCACAACACCATTTCCATCACTTTGCGGAATGGGTAAGAAGCTTCCTTCACTATTTGTTTTTTTTTTTTTTTTTTTAAATAAAATTAAATCATTTTTATGATTTATAATTTTTAAATTAATAATAAACAAAAATTTAATTAAAAAGAAAATGTATTTCATTACTTAATAAAAATTACAATAAACCTAAGATTTAAAAAAGTAGAATATAAAAAAAAAAAAACACAAATAAAAAATCAAACAAACCAACAACAACCGATGGAAAATATGTTTTCATAATTTTTACCTTCTTCTTCATCACGAGCTGAAGAGTCGGTCCCGAGAGATAGTTAGTGTTTTCCATCAAGAACTTCAAATCTTCTATTTATTGTCTCTCCGCACGCTCATTCTTCCTTGCATCTTCTTTTTCTTTGTCGAACGCCAAACGTTCAGCGAAATTAAGATTATATCGATCAAACGATGCTGTTTTTTTTTTTTCTGCATCACGTCAAGGTCCATGCTGAAATCTGATGCACCCAAAGAAGTCTCTTTTGCCTTCCTCTTTGCTTTGTCCCTACCCACCGGTGAGACAATTTCTTTTAGCTCGAGTCCGTCCTCCTGATTTAAATCTAGACCGATCCGAGCATCAGAAGAAGTTATGAAACCACTAAGGCCCATTTTTGTTCGCTTTGATTGTTGCACTCCAAAAATAAAATATTGCTCGTATTTTTTCCACCTAGGACTTTTAACTAATAATTTCCAGCAGTTGTACCTCTTGAATGGTTTTCCAACTTCCTTAAGGTAAAATTGCAAAGCTTCTTGAAGTATTTCTTCGTTGCCATGACCGCTTTTACGTTGGGTTTTTAGGTTGTTGTACAACTCGTTTATTTTTGAAACCCCCTTTGCTATTTCTCAAAACTTCGAATTCGTTCGGTGTTTCGTACGGTAGTCACCATCTTTTCCTAGCTCCTCCCGAAACCAATCTAAAATGCGAAACCAAAAATGATCTCCCGGTTGTGCATTTCCCGTCTTCAGATCATCAAAAATGTCAACCCAAACTTTTACCAAAACTAGCTCTTCTTGTGGAAGTCATGTTATCGGCTTTTGTCTTCCCTGTTGTGCGACACTCTCGCGCACTCGTTGTTTTCCTTTGCATCGTTGTGGGGATGACGTGGGTTGAATTTCGGGAACCATCTTTTGTTCTTCCGAGTTATCGAACTCATCGACACGTTGAAATTGTTGTTGGGTTTGAGTTTGATTTGGCGAATGTTGATCGGGAAAAACAACAAAGTTTGAAAATATTTACGGAGTAACATTTGGAACTGGAACCGGGTAATATTATGTAACATTTTAGTATTGAAAAAATTTATATCTAATCCCCATCGGAGAGAGAACGCGACAACCCCACCCCCACCTACTCCCCGCGCAACCCTTCCCGCACTACCGATGCAGTGTTCATCGGAGCAGGAAGCTTCCCGCAGCTCATCCCGCAACCGGCTCCGTCCGGCCCCAGCATGAGAGAGAGACCAAAACTGCCGACCTTTACAAAATATTACGACACAATCCTTAAATAAACTGTTCATTGGGTCAACGTAAATTACTAGTATATATAAAGTACGATAAAAAGAATATTTTATTGTCAAAATGTTACAATCAAATCAACAACTATCCTATGGTGTTATTAAGATAACATTATTCATTGTTGTCGTCATTAAAAATTACGTCATTTTTCCCCGAGAGCATTACATCACCATCCATACGAACTCAAACAAAAGATACTCTATGTTCGCTTCCATGGCTATATAAACATGTTCATTGATGTTACAATCTCATATAACTCCAACCATGGCTTCCATCTCCAAAAACTTTATGCTAAGCGACCTCGTTTCAACTGATAAAATCGACCAACTCCCTTCTCACTACATCCGCCCCCTTTCCCAACGCCCAAATCTCAAAGACGTTTCCCATGATTCCATCCCTCTCATTGATCTCCACGATCTTTACACTCCCAATCGCTCGCATGTCGTCCAGCAAATCGGTAAAGCTTGCAGTGACTATGGTTTCTTCCAGGTCAAGAACCATGGCGTTCCAGAATCCACCATAGCCAACATGATGAACATAGCTAGAGAATTCTTCAAGTTGCCGGAAGAAGAAAGACTCAAAACTTACTCCGATGACCCTACCAAGACCACAAGATCAGGCACCAGCTTCAACACACGTACAGACAAGGTTGCAAACTGGAGAGATTTCTTGCGAATCCATTGTTACCCACTCCAGGACTACATCCACGAATGGCCCACCAACCCGGCGTCCTTCCGTGACCATGTGGCGGAGTATTGCCGGAGTGCACGATGGCTAGCTCTCCGATTAATTGAAGCCATTTCCGAAAGCTTGGGACTTGATGGAGACTACATCAGCAGACAATTAGGGAAGCACGCCCAGCATATGGCCTTCAATTACTATCCTCCATGTCCACAACCAGACTTAACTTACGGTTTACCTGGACATAAGGATCTCAGTCTCATCACCATCCTTCTTCAAGATGAGGTCCCTGGTCTTCAGGTGTTGCGAAATGGTAACTGGGTTGCTGTTGATCCTGTTCCCAACACGTTCATCGTCAATATCGGCGATCAAATGCAGGTGCTGAGTAATGATAAGTACAAGAGTGTTCTTCATCGAGCTGTGGTAAACTTTGAGAAAGAACGGCTATCTATACCCACGTTTTATTGCCCATCTCCTGAGGCAGTGATAGGTCCTGCTTCAGAATTGGTAAGTGATGATGAACCTGCTGTTTATAGAAAGTTCACTTACAGGGAATACTATGAAAAGTTCTGGAGTATAGAGCTTGCAAACGAGGACTGTTTGGATACGTTCAGGGACTCCTCGTCTACTTGATCTTCCTATTAGTGAAGTTAAAAAGGTCTGAAGATCAAAACCGCTTCTAGAACTACATAAAGTGTAGCGGCATCGTTGTCAGTATTATTCATAAATAAACTCGTTTTTAATATTCTTATATGTGAAAGTTTTGTTTTCTTAATATTTTTCTCATGTCAATTATCTGGAATCTTCACACTCTTGAAAAACTTGAAGAATAGTTGCAGGTGATACTATGTAATGTGGAATCAAGAATCCACTTTATGAAGTCCGTGTATTTTAATTCCCTTTAACCCTCGTTCTCCGTAAATTAAAAACTCTATAAAAAGCTAAATATGGAAAAGATAAGAGTTTGATTAATACTGAATTTAATAAGCAAGAGTTATGTAATTATTAGAGAATTCGTTGTGGATATAAATGATAATCGATGATGGAAGTAGGAGTTGCATTTCACACTTCTAAGTTTCTAAAAGTAATATTTCGACTTTCTTTTACCTTGTCATAAAATTTACTTGGGAAATTTCAATTTAGGGCAACTTCAAATTTAGGCAAAAAAACTTATTATCAAATTTTCAAAGAGAACTAAAAAAACTAATTAAAATAGTGTGAGTATATAAGAATAAACAGTAAAATTCAAATGTATATAAATATAAACTAAGTGAAAATTAGATGCACTATCCATAGTAATGAAATAATGTTATTCTAATAATCTCAAAACCTAGGGTAATCCAAGAAAGCTATATATACAAAAATAACAACTCAAAATGAGAAATACCTATTTATTTGAACTAATATAAAGGGAAAATTTCATATATATTCTTCTAAATTTTAAGTATTACGTTAATATCTTTATAGAGTTTAAAAAATTATAGATATAACCATGTAAAACTATAAAAATTACATTTATATCCAAAATCATTTTTGATTAGGATTATATAAAATTTATATTAAAGAATTTAACTAAATTTCGAAATTATAAAAGTTTACCAAAATACCCTTCACATATTAAATCCTAAATTAAATCCCTAGCCAGATTCATTCCGAAAAAAATCCCTAGCTAGATTACGTATATCTCTTCAATCAGTTAAGGGGCCTTCAATGTACATAGATCATCTTCTCCATCATGTATCTCGCCTCCATAAATGCAATTAGTCCGCTTCTTCTTACTCCGAACGGTAATGTTTTATCCTCTTACAACCATGTGTAAATTGTAATAGCAAAAACCTAAAGCACAATAATATATTTATATGTATTAAAAGCATAACAAGTGCAAAGATAACATTTACAACTTCTGTCTATTAAATTGGATACAAGGAATCACCATTGTATCTGATATTTGTATAGTTTTCAACAAATTAAATTGTCTAAATTAATCATGCTTTGCATTTGATGTTTTTCTATTAGATAGATTAGATTAAGAAGAGGGTCCCCACTAGAAGCAATAAGAAGTTACTCATTCTTGTATAGGAATGTACGATTTGATAGGGCTATGATATTAAATGTGGTCATAATGTTCAATGTCCATATTACTTAACCTTAATATACACTATCATTAAAAATTGAAAGTTTTGCAAATATTGTTAATATGGTGAATTGCTCGAATGTTAATTTTCTAAAGACAAAATAATCATATTTTTTTTCAAAGATCCAAAAACAATAACCTGAAAACCAAAACAATTTCAATAATATTAATGCTAATGTACTTAAACATATACACTAAAATTGGCTGTGAACCAAAGATTTGAATTTTACCCATATTGATTTGGTCGGACCAATCACTTCATTATGTCAATATCATTCAACAAGCTCAGATACTTCTCCCTCTAATAACGGATGCCCAAAGATCTTCCTCTCTTCTTCTACCTTGGGCAATGTCGACTGCTTACTGCAACGTAACCACCTTGCCTGTCTGCTCACTGAGAAGAATGACATTACAAAGAATAAGGGGAGAAAAAGAAAAGCCACAATAGGAGAAGAAAGAGGAGTAAAAGAACACGATTTGAAGGTTTTCAAATCCCCATCTTAACTGAACTAGTAGGAGGTATGGGAGAATATACGAGTCCAAAATGAATTTTCTATCGTTGAACGTAAGAGGTGTGGGTGAAAGGGCAAAAATAGGCTGTGTAAGAAGGTTGAAAAGGCAACATAAGGCGACTTTCATTGGGCTACAGGAGATGCAGATATCGACTTCTTCAAAGATAGATGTTATCGGATGTTGGGATTCGAATGAATTCGACTATGAAAGTGTCGATGCCAGTGGACGATCTGGTGGAATTCTCTCGATTTGGGATACTGCTGTGTTTCAACGGACTGATGTTATCAAGAATCGCCACTACTTGGTTGTTTCTGGGAAATATATGGGCTCTCCTGAGAATGTTATACTGAACATTGTGAATGTATATGGTCCTCAGTCAATCTCGGATAAAAAGAAGGTATGGGCTGCACTGCTTAACATAATAAATCATAAATCAGGAATGTGGGTGGTGTTTGGTGATTTTAACGTAGTAAGACATCATAGTGAAAGGCGTAATTCTCAATATTGCCCTTATAGTACTACTGACTTCAATAGATTTATCCAGGAGGCCAACTTAAAAGATTACAACATGGGAGGTGAAAGATTCACATATATGTGTAAGGTTGATGCCAAACTGAGCAAACTGGACAGATTCTTAACGTGCCCGGATTATTTGCAAATGTTCCCTCTTAGCCACGTAACTGCTCATCCTCGAGAGTTATCTGATCATAGTCCTATTACCCTCCTATCTAAGGAAGCTGACTTTGGGCCTATTCCTTTCAAGCTCTTCAATTCTTGGCTATATAAAGACGGTTTTGATCATTTGGTGAGTAATGCATGGTCCTGTTTTAGTGGGTTTGGGGCGCCTGACGCATACCTTGCTGCTAAACTTATATTCTTAAAAGGAAAAATCAAGAATTGGAGGAATGAGGGTGATCACAAAGAGAGGCAGGAAGTTAATGTTGCCAAGGAGGTGGTTAAAGAAATAGAAAAGGCTGCGGAATACAGATCCCTATCCTCGAATGAACAGACTATTCGGGCGGATGCGATAAGAAAGATAATGGAGTGGGAACGCCTGCATGCTCTTGATCTCAAACAGAAAGCGCGCATCAAATGGTCTATTGATGGAGATGAGAACAGTAAGTTCTTTCATGGATATATCAATAGCAAAAATCGAAGGAATATTATACATGGTCTCATGATTAACGGGAGGTGGACGACGGGGGTCAATGAAATAAAGGAGGAAGCATTTAGGTTCTTTCAAGATAAATTCAAGGAGGTTTATCTGGTACGACCCAAGTTTAGCAACCCAAATTTTAAATCAATCTCTATGATGGAGGCAATTAGAATAGAGTCCCCCTTTTCCTTTGAAGAAATTAAGGTTGCGGTGTGGGATTGTGGTTATGATAAAGCCCCAGGTCCGGACGACTATACCTTCAAATTTATGAAAAAGTTCTGGGGCACGATCAAAGAAGATGTGATGAAGTTTGTAAATCACTTTGAGGAATATGGCTCATTGGCTAGGGGTTGTAACTCCTCTTTCATCACTCTAGCTCCTAAGATCAAGGACCCCCTCTGTCTAAATGATTACCGCCCCATAAGTCTGATCGGCTGCTTAAGTAAAATAATAAGCAAACTGTTATCAAACAGGTTTAAGAAGGTTATTGGGAACCTGATCGGTGATATGCAATCGGCTTATGTTGAAGGCAGATGCATTTTAGAGGGTCCTCTTATGGTTAATGAGGTGTGTTCATGGGCAAAAAGAGAACATAAAAAGATCCTCCTTTTCAAAGTAGACTTCGATAAAGCTTTCGATTCGGTGAATTGGGAGTTTCTTGATTCAACTATGGAGCAAATGGGTTTTGGTAGTAAATGGAGGTCGTGGATTCGTGGCTGCCTGAATTCGTCCTGGGCGTCGGTAATTATAAATGGATCGCCAACAAAAGAATTCCCGATTTCTAAAGGAGTTCGTCAAGGAGATCCGCTTTCCCCTTACTTGTTCATCATTGCTATGGAAGGTTTGAGTGTGGCCATTAGGACGGCGTGTGACAAAGGAATATTCAAAGGTGTTAAAATTCCAGGTAACGGTCCAATCCTGTCTCACCTCTTCTACGCGGATGATGCCCTGTTTATTGGGGAGTGGTCAAAAAAAAACCTAAAGAACCTGGCACGTATTCTTAGATGTTTCCACATATCTTCGGGACTCAAAGTCAACTTTTACAAATCGAAAGTTTTTGGAATCGGAGTGGATCCAGCGGAAACTTCGAACTGGGCCAATCTTCTTGGGTGTGTATCAGGCGATCTACCATTTGACTACCTTGGGGTGCCGGTGGGTGCCAACATGAATCTTAAAAAACACTGGAAGCCCATAATCAAGAAATTTCAGTCTAAGCTCTCAGTGTGGAAGGCTAAATCATTATCGTTTGGAGGAAGGCTCACACTAATTAAATCGGTCCTAGGTAATCTGCCTATCTATTTCTTGTCCTTATTTCGTGCTCCTATAGGTGTTATAAATGAACTGGAAAAGATAAGACGTTCCTTCCTGTGGGGAGGGGGTGAAGAAAAAAGGAAAATTCATTGGGTTTCCTGGGACAAAGTCCTTGCAGCCAAAGAAGAAGGAGGACTTGGAGTGGGATCCATTCAAGCCTTAAATATTGGCTTGCTTGTAAAATGGTGGTAGAGGCTGAACAATGAACCTATCTCTCTATGGGCTAGAGTAATCACCGGCATTCACAACTTAGCGAACAAACCGATTGAGTATCTATCCGTACAAAGATATGGTGGTGTTTGGAATAATATTGCCAGCATTAGAAAGTTCCTGGGGGGGGGGGGGGGGGGGGCTTGGGATTGCAATACATGATCTATTCAACATTAAAATCATGTCAGGGAATAATACCCTGTTTTGGTATGACCATTGGATTGGCTCTAGCAACCTAAAAACGAGATATCCTGACCTATTCGATTTGGAATCAAAGAAAAGGTGCACTGTTGCGGACAAGATTGGTGA